CTCACATAACTGCATGTCAAAAGTTTAAAAAAAATAATAAAAAATTATGTATATTCTACAGTTGTGTGGTGGAGTATTCTGTAAATCAAATCGAATTAGCTGATAGTGTTGTTGAAGTCTTTTGTATCCGGACTGATTTTTCTGTCTACTTGTTCTATCAGTACCCAGAGAAGAGTGTTGAAATCTTCAGATATTATTGTGGTTTTGTCTGTTTCTTCCTTTTTTCTGTTAAGTTTTACTTTGTGAATTTGAAACTTTGTTATTAGTTGCATACACATTTAGAATAGTGTCTTCCTGATGAATCATCTTTATGTAATACCCCTATTTATTGCTGGGGATGCTCCCTGTATTGAAGTCCACATTGCCTGATATTAACATAGCCATGTTTGCATGGTATATCTTTTCCACCCATTAATTTTTATGTTTCTTTTTATCTAATAAGTGTGTCTTATGAGCAACATATAGTTGAATCTGAGCTTTTTCTTCCAGACTTATAATCTCCTATCTTTTAATTGGAATGTTAAGCTAATTTTCATTTACCTTAATTATTGATGTGGTTGGGTTTGAATTTGCCATCTTTTCTGTTTGTCTTATTTGTTCTTTGTCTTAAAAACCATACTCATTGTTTTTATCTGATTTCCAGGTTTGGTGTTTTTTTTATACAAGTGGACTAATAATCTCAAGATATTTGAGAACCAGCTTAATTTCACAATTCTTTTAGATCTAAATGATTCTTTTCCTCAGTATTTTATAGTTCTCTTTCACATACAGTTCATTAGTAATTTGTATTAAAGATTGTTTATTTAACAACTTTTTATTTTCCCACTCTTAGATTTATGTATTTTTTTCCTTAGATTTATTTAATTTCTTAGATTTATATAATTTTGGAGTAATTATAATAACAATTCCAGTGGCTATAAACAGAGTTAAGAACAAACATAACTGATTCTTCATGGTCATCCTACTCAAGAAAAGGGAGCAGAAGGGCATGAACATACCTGAGTGTAGCATACTAGTAATAAGCATAAGCATTCAGTATATTCTGGTTCTCTCTTTTTATTTAACTGAAGAATTGGAGAGAATGTGAGGACTAAGGAGCATGTTGCTCAAATACTGAGTAAAATTTCTGTGTTTATGTAATATCTGGTTTGGAGTATAATTAGACTAAAACTGCCAGGTCTTTATTCATATTACTGTTCTATACATTATTTTAGATAATCATGGTAGACTTGAATTTGAGATACCACTCAGAATCAGGGAGCTTAATCTAGCTTGGGTCAAAGAAGTGATGTTTTTGATTGTTTTGTAATGTAAAATGACACAGGACTTTTTCAAAAAATAGTCATTGATAATCTTTTGGTGTCTCTAGAGATCTTTTATGTTTTTAAAATTTAAGTATTAAGACATAAAATATGTGAAATTTGTTTCTGTTTGGCTTTTTATTAGAATGAAAGATTAGTCTGTAATCTGTGTGAAGGCAGAAGACTGGAATAGATTATCTTTTTCAGATCCCAACCAGTAGGGAAATCAGTTGTCCTGTGGTTTAAACATTAAAAAAAAACCCTTTTTAAAGGATTTATTTATTTATTTATTTTAGAGCAGGAGTGAGAGAGCATGAGTGGGGTGGGGGAGAGAAAGAATCTCAAACAGACTTCACACTGAGCCCAATGTGGGGCTCACTCTCATGACCCTGAGATCATTACCTGAGCCAAAACCAAGAGTTGGACGCTTAACCGACTGAACCACCCAGACGCCCCCCAGTTTTTTTAAAGTAATCTCTATGCCCAACATTGGGCTCAAACCCATGACCCTGAGATCAAGAGTTGCATGTTTCACCAACTGAGCCAGCCAGGTACCCCAATATTTTTTAACCTTTAAAATTTTAGTTATGCCTTAAAATCATTTAAGTGACAGTAGAAATATAGTTTCTTGTTTGAGATTCACTAGGATGTGCTTGTTTTTTGTTGCAGCAAGAGAAAGCGACTACCATGGATTTGACTAAACATTTAGAAAGCACTCTGAAGACTCGTGTAGGTACCAGAATGGAAAATCTGGCAGCTAAGGTTGAAATATTGAAAGAAATTAGGTAGGTAAAAGCATATTTTTGAGAAGGATAATTTTAATTTTTATTTATTTTTAAGATTTATTTATTTAGAGAGAGAGTAGAGGGAGGGGCAGAGGGAAAGGGGAGAGAGAGAGAGAATCTCAAGCAGACTCTGTGCTGAGCACAGAGCCTGACTTGGGGCTCAGTCTCAACCCTGAGGTCATGACCTGAGCTGAAATCAAGAGTCGGATGCTTAACTGACTGAGCTGCCCGGATACCTTGAGAAGGATAATTTAAAATAATTGCTAATTAATTAATGCTTTGTTTAAATGATATGCCCACCATTTTTCCTTTGACACTTAATCTTTATTTTTTAAAGATTTTATTTATTTATTTGACAGAGAGAGAGAGAAAGCAGGAACAGAAGCAGGGGGAGTAGGAGAGGGAGAAGCAGGCTTCCTGCCAAGCAGGGAGCCAGATGTGGGCCTCGATCCCAGGACCCCGGGATCATGACCTGAGCCGAAGGCAGACGCTTAATGACTGAGCCACGCAGGCACCCTGATACTTAATCTTTATATTTTTATGCCTTTAAAGAGAGAAACTAGAAATACTTCTGAGATAAGTTTTATAGTGTTTGTGTCAGCATTCCTTTGTCACTACATGGAGTTGTATTGTTCTAAAGTCATCTATGAGAGTGAAATTAAAAAACACAAGTTCTGAGTGGTAGTTTTATGGGAAACTACTATGCCCATTGTATTGCTTGGTGTTATTTTTAGGCTTATACCAAAACTAAAGATTTGAAAGAAAAAAGTGGTTTTCGTACAGTCAGAAGAAAAGTGGTCTTCATGGAATCAGAAGAGAAGAAATTGGTTAGCAAGTCTTGTGCAGTTTATTCAGCATTTGTCAGACTCTCTATATGATTTATTTAGGTATTATATTAATAGATGATTGCCTTATTGTTGGTTAGGGATAATTGGTCACTCTTTTCTGGAATGTGGAAAAAAAAATAGTTCTCAAGACAACCTAGTTCCCTTTTCATGCTACACAAAGAACTTAAATCAGTAATTCATTTTCTTACATACTTTGAAACAATAAGAAGATGGTCATCTGAATTAAAACTGTGTGTTGGTGTTTTGTCCAGTGGAAATTTATATTCTCCAGTATAAATCCATCAGTTGTCATCTGGTTTATAAGCCTCTAGATAGTTTGAGTAATTTTGTCCCTCTAGAGCCTGATCAACTTTTCATGCACTACCAAAAATTAAGTGGCTACACTGCCACAGCTATGAGAAAGACTTAGGACCAAAATAATCCAATATGTTTTAGTACATTTTTGAGGAAATAATGTGCTGTTAGAATGGTGGCAGTCTAGTTAGAAACTAGAGAAAAGAATATGGATGGACCTTGTTGGTTTTGCTAGCTGGCCTGCTTCTCCAATTGCTTTTTTTCCTTTTTTCAACTCCACAAATGCTAGTCTGCTTAATAGGGTACAAGGACTAATGTGCCTGCACATTAGTAATAAGCAAGATTGGCTAAGTCTAACTTTTTTTTTTTTTTAGTTTTTTTTTTTTAAAGATTTTATTTATTTACTTGAGAGAGAGAAACACAGCGAGAGAGGGAACACAAGCAGGGGGAGCGAGAGAGGGAGAAGCAGGCTTCCCGCAGAGCAGGGAGCCCAATGTGGGGCTCGATCCCAGGACCCTGGGACCATGACCTGAGCCAAAGGCAGACGCTTAATGACTGAGCCACCCAGGTGCCCTAAATCTAACGTTTTTAAAGAATTATTCAGAAATCTAACTGTATACCAGCATTTTTTGAAGGTGTATCTGATATCATTTAAAGTTCTGCAGACTTTTGAAGTTGTCCTTTATGTAAACGTTTTTTTCTTTTTTAAGATTTTATTTTTATTTATTTGACAGAGAGAGAGCACAGGCTGGGGAAGTGGGAGAAGTAGGCTCCCCGCTGAGCAGGGAGCCTGATGCAGGGCTCGATCCCAGGGTCCTGGGATCATGACCTGAGCCGAAGGCAGATGCCCAACTGACTGAGCCACCCAGGC